ATGGCCAATATAAGTCCAAATGACCTGAATTTTTGCACATCTGGCCGCATTCAGTCTGGAAGCAAGTATATCAAATTTGTTGAAAACCGGTTCAGATATAGCTATAGTTCCCATATATATGTTTCATCCGATTTGATGTTTAAGTCCACGTCCACATGCGTAATATGCACTCCAGAAGAATGAGATTTGATGCCAGTTGTCAGATACAACCCAGAAATACCTCTGCCAAATTTTATCAAGATTGGTTGAGAGTTGGATGTAGGTCCCATATTTATCTTCAATCGATTTCGGGTTAAATGTAACCAACTGGCCAATATCAGTCCAAAAGTCCTGAATTTTGGCACATCCGACCGAATTCAATCGAATTCGAAATAGATCGGTTCAGATATAGTTATAGCTCCCATATATAGGTTTCATCCGATTTGGTGTTTAAGTCCCCACATTCGTAATGTGCACCGCACAGCCCAGATATAGTCGGTGCCGCCCGAATTTTGAATTTTCCTTACTGGTTAAATTTTTGACTTGCAATTATTCCTATGGAATTGTAAATAAGAATTCGATTTTCAGTAAAATTTGTAAAACCCAATATTTTTATCTGCCTTTTATGAAGTGGAATACTTCGATCCACTGATTCTTGTACATTGCTCACATTTGAACATTTTTCAAAAATTATCACATGTCTCAGATAAAGTAAAGGAAGTGATCTGGCACCTTGTAATATATTTATATAAGACTTAGGTCTTATACGAAATGGACAATATTGACCTCTCTCATAAAGGGTCAAAAACTTGAATAATCATAAAGCATATGTAAACAAAGAGATGAGAGTATACATCTATCGGCAAAAGCGGCTGATACTTTTAATTTGTTTCAATTAAAATAGAAAATTTCAAATTCATTTTCTGAAACTGCAAAAAAGTTTTTCTAATTTTACCACTCGATTTGACATATTTTCTCATTTTAAGTGTTTTTTTTTTTTGTGAGTGAAGGGTATGCCACGGTCGTTTCTACCGAACATACTGTCAATTTCCCATTGTATTTTTCTTTTGCTACGTAACTTTCATTCAGCATTGGGGATTTGGTCACATTTCCTTCGAGTTTGTGTTTTTTTCTTCTTCTCTCCAACTTTATTGCCATATTTTAACTTACATATGAAAGGTTTCTATGTTTTTTTTTTTTTGGTTCGCGCGCAAAATACATTTCCAACACTCACCCACATGAAGTGAAAAAATTATCAAACAATGAACAAAAAACTTTTCCTATTTGTAACGCAGAAATGTGTGTCTCTCTTTGTGTTTGTATATGTATATGAACGCACAAACACATTTACATACAACCATAGAGACATAAAACAAAATTGCTGGCATAAACAAAAGTCTGTAGGAAAACAACCGAACAACAACAACAACAACAAAAATCTGGGAAAAACAACAAACATCTGTCACAAAATAACATTTTAATACAGTATTCGAATGCATGGCCAGGAATATTGTTAAACGTGAGCGTGTGTGTGTGTGTGTGAGCGCGTGTTGTAAGTCTGTATGGCTTGATAATTCTACCTAAATGTATATAATTTAAAAAAAGCAACTTTACATTTCCAGCATAGAAACCAAGGACAGTCTTATGTACACACATGTTGTTGGTGTCTGAATGAGAAACGCACACACACACACACGAATCTTCACACTCACACCCACACATGCCTTGTTATGGAGTGAAAATGTATAAACTTTGAAAAGGAAACCAAAAGTTGTAAACACATAAACAATATTTATGAATAGCTTGTGAAAGTTTCTTTTTAATGCACTACACCGCAGAGAGAGCGGAAGGGGGTGACACTCTAAGGCCTCAACCATTATTGACTGTTCGATGAGCTGAATTTTGTCAGCAAATCCATCAAATCGCGGCAATCACTCATAGGGCAACATTTGTTGTTGGTATATCATTAAACTTGAAATTAATTTTAAGGAGAAATTCAACCTATATTTTTACTACATTAAATCGACCAGTATCATTATGTATGGAGTCAACATCATCTTATGTGGAACCTAGAGCACCATATTTCCATCTACCTTAAAGTAAGCAATATAGCTCAGTTTAAAACAAGATACATCGCATATTTTTTATGCCCTACACCACATCGTGGTAAGAGTATTAAGTCTTTGTGTATTTGTTTGTAACATGGTCTTACATTTTTCTAATTTCGACCGAATTCAGTCTAGAAGCAAGTACATCGACTTCGGAGAAATACCTCTGTCAAATTTTATCAAGATTGGTTCAGATGTGGATATAGCTCCCATATATATCCTCAACCGATTTCGGATTAATTGTGTACTAAATGACCTGAATTTTGGCACATCCGACCGAATGCAGTCTAGAAGCAAGTACATCAGTACATTTAGTGAAAATTGTCTCAGATATAGCTATAGCTCCCATATATATGTTTCATCCGATTTGGTGTTTAAGTCCCTCACATTCGTTATATGCATTCGACAACAATGATATTTGGTACCAAATATTTTATAGAGCTCAGCAAAATTTTGTCGGGTTAATTGTGCACAAAATACCCAATAACTTTCCAAAAGTCCTGAATTTTAGTACATCCGAACGAATTCGGTCTACAAGCAGGTACATCAAATTCCGAGAAAATAGGTTCAGATAAAGCCATAACTTCCATATATATGTTTCATCAGATTTTGTGTTTAAGTCCCCCACATTTGTAATATGCACCCCACTAGATCGATTTTTGGTATCAGCTATCGGATACAGACCAGACATACCTCTGCCACATTTTGTCAAGATTACCTCGGATTTGGATATAGCTCCCATGTATATCTTCAACCGATTTCGGGTTAATTGTGCACCAAATGGCTAATATCAGTCAAAATGACTTGAGTTTTGGCATATCCGTTCGAATTCAGTCTAGAAGCAACCAATTTTAAACTTGGGGAAAATCGGTTTAGATATAGCTATAGCTTCCATATATACAGGGTGAGATGAAAAAAAAAAACCAACTTCAAACTGCTGTCATTTCAAAGCCACTTAAACGACAGCTGTTAAAATTATTACAGTGACTGCTCATTATATTGTTTAAAAGCGTACAAAAGCTATTTTGGGAGAATTTCCAGAAAAAAAAGTTATTCGTGATGGGATTCAAGCGTGGTAGTGGCATTCAAGTGCCTATCGTTAAAGCACTCCAGCATTCAAAAGTGAATAAATCTTTTGTGTCTCGTACCATCGCTCGTTACCGTGATACTGGTAGCTTAACCCGACGTCAAGGAAGTGGACGGAAGGAAACGGCAACATTAGCAGAAATGGTTCGAAAATAAAGAAGCGACTTGATCGAAACCCGCGTCGCAGTTGCCGAAAAATGGCTCGTGAGCTGAACATATCGCAAGTTCCATTCGGCAAATATTGGAAAATGAGCTCCGGATAAAGCCATTGAAATTCCAAAAAGTGTAAGAAATTACACCGCAAGAGAAAGAAAATATACTCAAAAGAGCTAAAGAGTTGCTTCGCTCTTGCCAAAGAGGTCAACTGAAAATGGGCACCTTCGGTTGGCCACCAGAACTCAAGCGCCGGCCATGGTGATGGTATGGGCCGCTATAACAGAGTTTGACTTTGTTGCAGTTTTTTTATCTCGCCCTGTATATCGTATGCCTAATCGAAATAACGGTTTTAGACCCTAGGTCTTTTTGAACCAAATCCATTTCAGGACATATGCAGTCGGTCTAGGGATGTCCGCCTGTCTGTCTATCTGTCCGTCCCTATCTGATGTGGTTCAAACTTGGTGCATCGTAATATTATTATGAATCTTAGATTGAATTCGGAGATGCGATTTTGTCTTTGTGTAACATCGGTCCACACGTCTACGTATAGACAGATATTGAGATTTTATCAGAATTTTTGACGAATTAATTTTTTTTGAAAATTTCTAAATTCGTTCCAAATAATGGAGAGCATTCAAAGTTTGACCCGCCCGAACTTACTGCTTTTTTACTTGTTTTAATATTCGCAATTTCGAATTTCGACGAACACCATGAACAACGACGAGCTTAAAGTGTGATCTTTCCAACAGACGAAAATATGAAAATATTCCTTTTCAAAAGTGATAGACTTTGGTTGTCTAAACCGATGTTGAGGCACGATGAGCCAATTTTTTTACTTAAATACAAAATTAATGTAACTAGGATGGCATTGGAACATTTTCTCTGCCAATGCCCAGCGTTTGTAAATTTCAGATCCCAATTCTTAGGGAACGACTCCATACCAGACCTTAATCAGACCATGGTAAATGGTAAAAGACAGTTAAGAAATTTCATAAAGGCAACTGAATTTCAAATATAACAGACTGTAAACTGCCCGTCTTCTTCAAAAACCCCTTAGTATAGAGTGCACAACAGGCCCATACTGGCTTAAGTGTTTGCCCAATAGGGCATGCGGCGAATTCCTTCGCCCCTCTTTTCAACCTAACCTAACTAGGATGGCAGCTCTGTATGAAATGGAGAAGTAGGCAGCTTGAAATTTTGTGGTTCAGTTAATTGATGCTTCTTATATTCGAATAGTTTATATAGGTCCTCTAGCAGTTATCATAACCCAACGACGTATACTTCCACAAAGAACTCAAAATAATTTTCGCTGTTTCCAAATCACATTTCTCTCAGTGTAATATTCACTCTCAACTTTATGCCATCATATGTGTTCATAAATTTGCATATTATCCTACAAAGTCCTTTGATTCTCTTTTTTTTCATCTCAATAATTTTTATGATAATATGGTATTGCGAAGTAAAGTCGCATTAGCAAATACGACAACTCAGCTCAGGTGTTACAAAAATTTTACAAAATATCTACATAGAAAATTGAGACATATTTTGTGTAGCTTAGGAACGTGCGTATCGCTTCCAACGCCTCCCCAGTCGCTTTGCAATTTCACTAGGAAAATAACAAGGTTTACAAAAGATTCACAGTCAAAGAAATCAAATTTATAGTCATCAGAAATGTCTTCACGTTTTATTTTATTTGCCGGCGTTGCCTTAACAAGTCAAAGGTCATTGATGCGATACGTGAGATATTACGACGATGATGATGATTTTCAAATGTTCACCTCCGGCACACAAATAACCATAACCATGTTCATGTCCTTAAAGGTAATGTCAAGACTCGGTATTTGCTTTTCCTACGGTCTAATGTAATGTTGTTCAAATGCCTGTGGGCCTCTTGCTCTCGCTCGTAGGTGGTTAACCTATTGCCTGTCTCATTTTCTAGGCCGTAAAAGGTCAATAAAATTAAGTGTTTCTATTTGGAACATTTTTATGATGGCAATAATATTGAAATGGCTGAAGGTGTGTTTGTTTGTCTTAATTTCCTGGGTGGATGAATGGTTATGGTTGGGACAAGTTGAAAGACAAGGTATTGTGAAGAGAAAAGAATAAGGTAGAGAGTATGCTACAAAGTACAAACTTGGTGGAAGAAAATATAATGTTACGAAAGTCCACCTCTCTCATACTCTTGGGACTAGAATCTTCAAATTTACAAGGTATTATATAAGGTAGTGTTTTTGGAAATCCGCACTTAAAAATACTAAAAATCGCGATTTTACACTATAATTATACTACTTTTTTGAAAATTCGAGTTTAGATCGCCATTAGGGTGGGATATCAGATAATGTGTAACTTTTGGAAATTCGTACTAAGAAAGGATAAACGAGTAAAAAAGCAGTAAGTTCGGTTTTGAATACCCTCTACCATTTGGAACGAATTTGGTAACAAACAAAATAAAATCCGTTAAAAATTCTATTAAAATCTTAGAAATACCGAATGTAGCCGTTATATTATGGTCTATACGACGACGACGATCTGCATAGGCAACTTTTCTCATAAGCCATTACAATATTCAAATGCGAAACTTGAAAAAAATTCGGTGAATAATGCAGCTAAAATCATACACGAACAAAATACCGTAATGGATATTACAGCTTAATACAGAAAATTGTCAGTGCAGGTCCACGTCTTCATATAGCCCCCATGTAACGGTACCTCACGATATGGAGTGTGGAGGATATATTAAGTTTGTCATTCCGTTTGTAACACCTCAAAATATTCGTTTTAGACCCCACAAAGTATATATAGATTCTTGATCACTGCAAAATTCTTTGTCGATTTAACGATTACCGTCCTTCCATCTGCCTGTCTGTCTGTGGAAATCACTCTTGCTTTCGAACGAATTAGGTTGATAAAATTTTACTCAAATGTGTGTTTGCACTGCAGGACTTTTGGTATTGACCGCTATATAGGTCCATGTTTAGGTATAGCCTCCATATAACTGGAACTCCCTATATTCTGTATTTTGAAGATTTTAGCGACATTTTATACCGGAATTATTTCAAATTTCGTATTTGAAGTTCCTCTTAGCTACTTCGGTCTATGATAGAAAATTGTTGATGCATCTCCAGGTCTTGGTGTAGCACCCAAAAAGCGGTACCTCCCTATATTCCTTATTTTTATGATGTACAACATTCACCGGAATTGTTTCAAATTTCGTATTTGAAGTTGATCCACGTTTTCGTGGAGCCGCTAAAACTGGTACCTCCCTATATTCGATATTTTGATGTTTAGACCCTAGTATTAGTGTGTGTATTATTATGTCTTTGTTCATTTGTTTGTAACATGGAGAAGGAAGCGAGGTTGACCCATAGTTACTTTTGAGGATCTTCATAGAATCACTTTCTGAGTCGATTTATGCAAGTCAGTCCGTCTGTCGATGTATGCTTTCGGGTTAATTGTGCTCCAAATTGAGAACTTCGGTCCAAATAACCTGAAGTGTAACACATCCGCCTGAATTCAATCTAGGAGCGAGTACATCAAATTTGGAGAAAATCAGTTCAAATATAGCTATAGCTCCCATATATATGTTTCATCCGATTTGGGGTTTTATCCCTCAAATGAGTAATATGCATTCCACAACAATGATATTTGGTACTAGGTAACTTATGGAGCTTAGGAATACCTTTGCCAAATTATATCGAGATCGGATCAGATTAGGATATAGCTCACATATATATAATCAACCGATTTCGGGTTAATTGTGTACTCAGCAATGGTAATTGGTACTAGAGGTATGATTCAGATTTGGTTCACAAATTGTGACTACTCTAAAGCCATTATACGCATTCAAATAAGTTTCATAGTTGGTAGATCTACTTCACTTAAATTCACAATACAAACTTTTTTACAGCAACTCCACAAACTATGTACGCATAGTAATAATTCGAGGAGTTAAAAAGAGAATGGCTAGTTGTTAGACAAGTTTTCATTAATATTGATATATTATTCACAATATAATACTAAATTTTCTTTTGGTTTTCGTTTCAGCTAATTGTTGAAATAAACAGTCACGTGGCTTTATTTCGCGATCTTCTAATACACGTGGGCCAAGCGAAAGACTGTCCAGAACTGCGAGAAAAAATACGAAAACTACGAAGAACATGCGTTGAGGCTTTCAAACACACGGAACAGATCCTAATGCCACAAGTAAAAAAGTAAGTACCAATGATAATATTGAAAATATATAATTGCGAAAAGTATACACACATAGTTTGAGTACATAAATTCATCTGTTGTAAGCTTATAAGAGAAGTGACCTTTTTAATGTGAGTGTATTTTATTTAATATTAGGATAGGTTTAAAGATCGGCTATATCTGATTACGTTTAAACTGCTATGATAGGGTACTGTCAGGTATTTGAAGAGTTTTTTACTTATTTCCAACCAAATTGCTTACATTTAAGTATCCCTTGTAATTTCGTTTGCCGCATCTCGAAATATTTATGCTTGATAACCAATATTTCGGGGTGTTACAAACTAAACTCGCATAATGTTGTAGGGGATAAAAATTCCATCTCAAAAGGACTAAAGCTAGCAAAAATATTATAATGTTCGAAATTGAAGATAAGATTATAAGAGTTATGATTATTTAAAATTTAAACCCTTTGTGGGGGAGGTACTAAAAGGAGAGCTAATTTTTGGGCTTTTCAGATCTGACATAGCACTGATACAAATATTATGAGTTGCAAGATTTAATCAAAAACGAATGATCCTTTCTATGAGATAAATTATTTTCCATGAATATTTTGAAGGGGTGGGCCGATAAGTTCCCTTCGAGAGTTATCCTGAAACAAATTTTGTCAAAAGAAACCTAGGGTCTAATGCCGTTGTTCTGATGAGAAACGTTTTGGCGTTATCAAATAACATAACTCTCTCTAGCCATATGACTGAGGCGACAAAAAAAATCAGATTTTAGTATTTTTTTATGCATTTCCAAAAACTCCGCCTTATTGCCCACAATATTTTGTATTTGGTATTACTTAAATTTTCTGTAAATCCTTGAAAGGACTTATTTGATAATTTGCTTACAGGAAAGTCCCATACAAGATGACTGTGTTATTGGCCTTCTGTATGTCCTATACCACCTTTTATATATTTCTATTGATATGGTCAAAACGTGCCCCATCGATATAAGGGGTTTAGGACATTCGGAAGATATTGGGAGTCGATCTAGCGATGTTCGTCTGTCTGGTTGGTTGGTGCGGATGATAACTCTCGAAGGGAGTATCCGATTTGGTTCAAACTTGGTATATCGATGATGGACAATATCGGTCCACCCGCACCCCCCCCCCCCCACAAAAGGTCGAATATATATATATATATATATATATATATATATATATATATATATATATATATATATATATATATATATATATATATATATATATATATATATATATATATATATATATATATATATTATATATATATATATATATATATATATATATATATATAATATATATATATATATATATATATATATATATATATATTATATTATATATATATATATAATATATTCGGTACCTCCGAATGTCTTAAGATTACACACATCGCCAATAATCCAAGGTCTGGCGTGAAGATGGAATATATCGGTCCACTTCTTCTGGTGCTTCCCCATAAGTGTCAAAATTTTCAATATCCTTGAACCTCATAAAATGCGAAATTAATATTCGATCCCAAAATTTGAATAATTATAACTCTTATAAAATGTGATGTAAGAGTCCGATTGTCTTTAAATTACACACATCACAATATTTCTGTTAACCCAAGGTCTGGTGAAGATGGAATACATCGGTTCACTCCTTCCTCCTCCACAAAAGAGTTCACCTTTTCAATATCCATAAAGCTCATACAACGCAAAGTAAACATCCGACTTTTAACATTCAAACTTGGCACATCAAAATATTCTATAAACACAAGATCTGTTATAAAGAGAGTGTAGATATCGGGTCATTCCTTCTGGTACATCCAAACGAGTATAAAATCCGGTTCTATTATATTTCACTGATCCCACTATTCCTACTAACACTAGATCGGCTGTGAAGATGGGATATATCAGTCCAATTTCCTGGTACCTCCCTCACAAAGAGTAAAAATTTTGAATGTCCATTCAGACTTGGTACATCTCAATATTTCCATCAACACAAGATCTGTTATAAATTTGGTAGAAATCGAACCACTCTTCTGGTACCCTCCCCCACATAGGTTTCAAGATTCAAGAGAAAAACAAAACGATTAATGAAAGCGCAATAAGCATCCACCTTTCTTCAAATTTCACACATACAAACATTTTTGCTAAGATTAGCGTTAAAGATGATATATACCTGCGAACACCTTGTGGTACCTCACACACAAAGGGTCACAATTTTTAACACTCTTATTTTCCATAACTTGCGAAACAAATTGAAGATTCTTTACAACTTGTCATATCGAAATATTTCTCTTAACCAGAAATCTGAGATAAATATGGAATTTATTATTTCGCATACAATTATTTAAAAATGTCAGATTGTCTTGTAATTTTGCCCTAACCAATATTTTTATCTGTAATTAATGAAGTATGAAATGGAATACTTCAGTCGACTATATCTGGAACATCACGCCCATCTTAAGTTTTTTTTAAAAATTATCACGTATCTCATATAAAAAGTGACGGTAGTTACCAATGTAGTTCAAACCGCACACGACACCATATTTATATCATATTTATTTAGGTCCGATGCGAAAAGGGCAATATTGGGCCATTCCTTCGGAACCTACTCCATGAAGGGTCAACGATTTGAATAATGATAACAGAAGTCAAAGTATATTTAAATAATCGAATATTGGCTGAGGATATACTACCGACCGACTGATACTTTTTAACTTGTTGATATAAATTTCAGGAAAATCGGAATCCAATCTAATCTTAGTACTAAAATCCAAAGCTCAGAGAGATCAGTTACTTACTCATGTATGGTAATATATCTTAGTATATATAAATTGCTCTCTAGATCTGTAAATATCTTAATTAAATTTTCATCATTCTTGAAAACATCTTTATTACTATTCTGAAAAAAGAAATTAATAATATTACATTTTATTGCTGCTGCTGTTTTATTTTTCTTGTTTATATTGAAATAAAAACACTTCAAAACTAACCACATTTTCTTGTTGCCCGTCTATCTTTTTAAATGTTTTTCATTGCTGCTGCAATTGCCACCGCTATGCTATTGTTGCTGCTGTTATTGCAATCCATCTGCTGTGGCTGTCATCATTGTTGTATGTCTGTTGCCGCTGCCGCTGTTATTTTATGTTCCCTCTTGCAGTGCCACTGCCGATGGCGTTCTGACCGACAATCCACATCTTGTGCTGTTATTTTATATGGCTCAACTGTTCTTACGCGAATTAGTGAAGAGCTATCGTCTGATACAAGTGGTGCCAATGGATATGTCAGGATATTATGGTAAGTTCACATCTGCAATTTATCCATTATTCTTAATTGTTCTCTACATTCCTCATGGAAAGAAGCATTTGTTTCGATTGTGTTGCTCACGCATTTCCCTCTTGCACACTGTGTCCATTATTAATACAGGGGAAAAAACAAATATTTCCACAACTTGTGGAAATTGAGAGAAATGCTATTTCTATTGAGAACTGCAAATATTTACATTTTGTTGTAGACAAATGTATTTTTAGAGTTGTTGGATTAATATGCCAGAGTAGAAGAAATATTTTATTTATAACTAGAGTTTTATTTATTGATTTGGCATTCTAGTTAGGAAGATCAGACTATTCATAATGGAACAGTAGAACGCAAAAATAGATACAGAAAAATCTTAGCAGTTTAGGAAAGTAAAACTAAAAATAGATGACAAAGATATTAGCGTTTCTAAAATATAAATCGAAAGTAACTTGAATACGGGGCAAAGTGCCCTGTCTTAAACATTTTTTCGAAATTTTCGGATAAAGTTTACATGGAATCCTAGCAGCAGCCATATTCTCAGTTGAGCGACTCACACCTTGGGCCAAAGGTCTTATTTTCAATCCCTACACAACACTGGGGTTCAGGTTTATATGTCTTTGTGAATTTGTTTGTAACCGATTGTCCACGTGTTCCTGTGAACAAGTACAAGACGCATTAATTGTCTAATTGAGATGAGTTCATTTGTTTGGTAAAACATTGGTGATAATCGGCTCAGATTTGGATATAGCTCCCACATATAACTTCAACCCAAATAGGACGCATTTAAAATTCAACTGAAATTCTTGTCTGCATGCATGTATCTAATTAGGTGAAAATCGGTTCATATGTTGCTATAGCTCACATATACATGTTTTATGCGATTTTATATATGAGATCTATTATATAAAAGAGTAGTGAAATAAATGACTGACTAGCGCCTAGACGAAACTCCTGGAGCTAGAATCTTGAAATTTTGTGAGAGTGAGGGTCACTCTTAATCTGAAGAGGTCAGATAAGGCTGGGTTTTTGGAAATTCGTACTAGAAGGGTACGAAAAGTATTAAAAGGTACACACACACAGGTATAACACCCATTGTATTTGAAGAAGCAGTAGAGCTAGAGGAGTGAGGATCACTGATGGAGTGTATGATAAATGTACGAAAAGAACTAAGATGTACTACATTGGGTACCAGTTTGGAGTTGGAATCAAGGTTGGGGAGTAGAGTCGATGTAGGGAGGTAGTTTTGGGTGTGTGTACTCATGTATACGAAAAGTACAAAACATTACTAAATTTTGTACAATTTGAATTTGGAGGAACGGATAGAGCTGGAATCCTGATATTTGAAATTAACATTACTAGCGGAGTGTAAGATTGTGATATGGAAATTTGTACTTATGTGCACGAAAAGTACTAAATTTGATACAATTTCGATTTGGGTGAACCGATAGAGCCGGAATTCTAAAATTTAGAAGTAAGATTACTATTGCATTCTGGGATTGAGGAATGTAGGTACTTTTGGAAATTCCTACTGATGTGTACCTGAAAATTGGCAAATAAGATTACCGTCGGAGTATAGATTGGGATATGTAGGTAATTTTGGAAATTTTCTATTTATATGTAATAAAATGTACTAAATTTGGTACAATTTGTATTTAGGCGAAACAACAGGTTTGGAATCCTAAATTTTGGCATTGGGATTACTGTGGGTGTGTACGATTGGGGTATGTAGGAAGCGTTGAAAATTCGTACTTATGTGCAATACAGGGTGAGATGAAAAAACTGAAACCAACTTCAGACTGCTGTCATTTCTAAGCAACTATTCCGACAGCTGTTAAAATTATTCCAGTGACAGCACATTATGTTGTTTACAGGCGTACAAAAGAATTTTGGTGAGAATTTTCCAGAAAAAAAAAAAAAATATTCGTGATAGAATTCAAGAGTAATAGTGTGATTTCTTTATATTTGGCTGGAAACCCACAAGTGGCTATCGCTAGAACACTCCAGCATTTAAATGTGAATAAATCTTTTGTGTCTCGTACCATCGCCCGTTACCGTGATAATGGTAGCGTAGCCCAACGTCAAAGAAGTGGACGGAAGAAAACAGCAACATCAACAGAAATGGTTCGAAAAGTAAAGAAGTGACTTGATCGAAACCCGCGTCGCAGTGGCCGAAAAATGGCTTGTGAGCTGAACATATCGCAATATTCCTTTCGACAAATATTGAAAAATGAGCTCGGAATAAAGCCATTGAAATTCCAAAAAGTCCAAGAACTTACACCCCAACAGAAAAAAAAAATAGACTCAAAAGAGGTAAAGAGTTGCTTTACTTGGCCGAAAGTGGTGAATTGCTGAATTTGGTTTCCTTCGATGAGAAAACATTCGTTGCCCAGCAGTTTGTAAAAAAACAAAATTATCGTGTTTACTTGCCAAAGAGATCAGCTGAAAATATGCACCTTGGGTTGGCCACCAGAACTCAAGCGTCGGCTATGGTGATGGTGTGGGCCGCCATAACTGCCGATGGTCGCTCTCTGCTCGTATTAATCGACCGTGGCATCAGAATAAATACCGAATATTATCCCGAAAATATTCTGGAGGGTGTATTAAAGCCTTGGGCACGCAAACATTCTGGCCGCAGACCTGGGATATTCCAACAGGACTCAGCACCATCGCACTCAGCACACGCCGCCCAAGAATGGTTACAAAATAAGGTTCCTCGCTTCACTTCCATAGCACAATGGCCACCAAAATTTCCGGATACCAATCAGTTGGACTATTGTATCTGGAGTACTTTGGAAAGCAAGGTAGGCATTAAAAAATACCAAAGTGTCGATAACCTCAAGCAAGCACTTCGCCGGAAATGGGTCAAAATACGGCATAGCAACATTCAGGCAGCGTATGACGGTTTCATTGGCCGTTTGAAGGCCATAATTCGTGCCAAAGGTGACTGATTCGAACAAATCTTATTCTTATTCTTATTCTTTGATGCTATTTCCGATATTTTTTGCTTTCAATTAATAAAATTACAAAAAAAAAAAAAATTAAAAATTATGGTGTTTGGCTTTGTTGCATTTTTTTATCTCACCCTGTATGCACTAAGATTGGAACCAAGATTGGAATATAAGTTTGATATATGATTTGTATGTGAAGGTGGTTTTGGAAATGTGTATTAAGTGTGCAATCTGTACTAAATGTTACTAATGTTGGAACAGTTCGGATTAGGCTGAACGACTGCAGCTGAAACTGTTGGTGGTAGGGTTGTCAAAAAATGTGGTTTTGCGCGAAAACTACTAAATAGTACCATAATTAGTACAATTTTGTATGGGGTGATAGATAGTCCAGATAGCCCTTGGAATCTGAAATGTTATATCAGTGTCGCTGTTCGTGTGTAGGCTGGAAATATGGAAGTGGTTTCGAAAATGTGCACCAAATTGTACAAAAAGTATTAAATGGTACTATATTTAATATTGGCTGCAGAGATAGAGATAAAATTAAGAAATTTGGTATTAAGATTGCTGATGGTAGCTGTGTTTGAGATTTGGTGGGATATAACTGAAATTTGTTAGAGATGTCACTGTTGTATGTGGTTAAGATATGAGAGTGGTTTTTGAAATGTGCGGTACAATTATTCGAAAGGTGACAAAAGGAACTAAATTTGGTGGTGGGTGAAGGACTAGACTTGAAATCTTAAAGTCTGATATAGATGTCATTTTTGGTGTTGTGTCGGGGTTCTGACAATGTGTTATATAATAGTTCGAAAAGTACTAAGTGGTACTAAATTGATATTGGGTGGGATAGAGCTGAAATGCCAAAGTTTCATATCGAGGTCTCTGTTTGTATCTGGTGTTGAAACCCGGATGGTGGTTTTGATAATGTGTACCATAATTGTACAAATAGTACTACACTGTGCGTGTGTTTATTATGGAGAAATGTAAATTGTTTTGGGTATTCGTACTAAATGTTATTAAATTTTGTATTGGGTGATGGGATATTGCTGATATTCTGAAATTTGATATATATGTCACAGTTAGTTTCTAGGGTTTACACATGGAGACGTTGAAATAGTTTTATACAGAAAAATTGGCTTGAGTAGTTAGTGCAAGTTAAAAAGTATCAGTCAGATATGCCGACAGAAGTATAACCTCATCCAATGTTCGTTTGCGTTAATATGTTTTGACTTGTGTTACGATTATTCAAACTTTTGACCATTTGTGGGGAGGGTCCAAAGGACTGGGCCAATGCAGTCTACGAAATGGACTGCATTACCTAAATCTGATATTAAAATTTTCTCCCTTCACTTTATATGAGATATGTGATAATTTCTGGACAATTTTGAAATGTGCGTTAGAAAACAAATATAGTGGACTAAAGTAATCCGCTCCTTCTAATACTGATAAAAATATTAGGATTAGCAAAATTTAAAGAATCTCTAATATTTATTTTGGAATAGATGTTAATCAAAATTTCTAACTTTCGTGGGGACGTTCCAGTAGGAGTGGACCGAAGACTTACATGACATAATATCTCCTGTTGAGAGAAATATTTGTAAATATATTTGGGGTGTGAAATTTAAAGAGAATCGAATGTTTATCCCGATTTTTGGAGCAATTGGTTATCCAAAAAGTTAACCTATTTGTGGGGGAGTGACCAGAAGGAGTGATCTTGCGTTAATAGAAATATTGAGATGTGTCGAGTTTGAAAGAAATAAAGATGTTCATTTCGCGTTTTATGAGCTTCATGGTTATTAAAAAAATTGACCCGTTGTTCCGTAGGTAATAGAAAACGTGGTCGACCTAAGTTTGACCATAAAATAATTGTGTACCAAGTTTTGATCAATTTTCACACTCCTTTTGGGAGTTATAGTGCGTCCCAGCCAACCATATAGAGGGAAGTACACCCCTATATCGACTTTAAATATCCTGAAACGGATTTCGTCCAAAGTAACCTAGGGTCTAAAACCATTACTTCGATGAGACACGTTTTGGCGGTATAAAATGATATATACCCTCTGTAGCCAAATGGTTGAGAATATAAAAAGGCCTAACACGAACTGTTGAAACAAATCTAAAATTTTAAGATGGACTTTTCGCTAACGAATTAGCGGGCACTTCCTAAGTTTCTAAAATAAACCTTTCGTTGTTTCTTTTCTTGATGTTTGGCATAAATTGCTAACTGTAGTCACCATATAAAAGGGATTGGAGGGATGATGCTCCAAATAAGGGGCTTTAAGGGTCCTAACACCTTTTTAAACTGAACGGGCTACGATTCAGTATTTTACGGAATTTAACATGTAGCAAAGACAACTGATTTGACCATAATACAAATTTCCACATTGTAAAATAATAGTAGCATTTATAATAATATTAATACCCTGGCCTACAGTATAAACAATGGTTGCAAAAATTCTTTAACTTTGATGAACATTCATTAGGAAAATCCCAAAAAGCAACTTTCCTCTACATTGCTACTCCTTTGCCTATCCTTTCAACCAACCGCATATTGCAAAATTTACGAATGCATTGAAACAATTATGACCTGTAGCAATAATTTAAAACGTAAAATCTTCGTCAACATTGCAATTCCAGAAGAAAAACAAAGGAAACCCCGAACAAAGAACACAAATCCCAAGGAACAAAAAAAATATTGGGGAACATACGACGACGAAAATGAAAACGTTTGCATTGTGTGAACAATTTTGTAAAACGTATTTTGATGTTAGAGGATGTTGGATGTTAAGAGGATAATGGTCGTGATATGACAGAGTATCTGTGTGATATATGGCAGAAGGGGGTACTACTTGAGGGGTTAGGAAACACGTACATATGTATTTACACCACATGTGTATGTGTGTTATAAATGACAAATGTTGAGCAGTATGTACGTGGCCACACTGCTGCGGATATTACAAAAGTTTCGAAAATATTTTCATTTGTTTCATATTTTTGCTTTAGTTTCATTAGTTTTTATTAAAACTTGAAAAAAATTCGACAAAAATGCGATTGTTATGAAAGATGAGATTATTTTTTGGATTTATGTGATTATTTTCACTTTTTAATATCAAAACAAAAAAAAAAAAAAAAAAAAAAAAAAAAAAAAAAAAAAAAACATTAACTTCGGCTGGGCTAGAACCCATTATAGACAACAAATACCAATTTTTAAAAAAAATCCTTGGAAAAATGTTTCAAGAATCATCAAATTATCAAATATCTGGAGGTACTATTATATGGGGGCTATACCAAAACATGGACGTATACATATAATTTTTCGCCCCAGAAGCTAGAACCCATTATGACCTATAAATACCAATTTTTAGACAAATCCCTGAAAAAATGTGGCAAAAATCATCAAAGTTCCGAATATTGGGGACGTACCGTTATATAGCGGCTATGCAAAATCGTGAACCTGCACATAAAATGTTTTGCCACCAGAGCCATTAACCGTGAAAAAAAATATGGCAAAAACCATCAAAATACCGAGAGGTTATACCAAAACGTAGATCTATATATACAATGTTCCACCACACGAGCTAGAACCATTTATAACCTTCAAATACCAAATTTTAGACAAATCCGTGAAAAAATGTGGCAAGATACCGAATATCGGGAGGTACCATTATATGGGGCTATTCCAAAACGTTGATCGTTATATCTCATTTTCAATACCAACCATCACAATAAAAATTGTTCTACGTCAAATAATGTGGGCTGTATCGTGATATGAACATACAGACAGACGGACATAGTTAAATCGTTATGGGTCTACGACGAATACTTAGCGATGTTACAAACGAATTGACAAAGTTAATATACCCTCCTTTTCAAGGTGGAGGGTTTAAAACAAGTTAAATAGTATATGCCGGTTTTGCCGACAGATGTATGAGTTATGATTATTCAAACTGTTGACCATATATGGGGAAGGTTCCGAAGCAATTAGCCAAAATTGTTTAATTCAAATCTGACCTAATATAAATATTACAACGTGCCAGATTTGGACTATATCGTCTACTTCATATACTTTATATGAGATATGTGCACATTTTTGGAAACTGCGGAAATATGCTTAAGCTACCACACATACCGTACCGAAATATTCCACTTCATTTAATACAGATAAAACCAGTAAGGAAAAGTCAAAAGTCGGGCGGGACCGACTATATGATACCCTAAACCACTGTGCTTTTTTAGTAGAGCCTCCGATAACAAAAGAATTTATTTGAAGTAGATCATACCACCTATCAACAGTTGGCTTTAGAGCAGTTATAATTTGGTTTCATAGGGAAATAATATATGGAAGTCATACGCAATTCTGAACCGATTTCCAGTAAATTTGACGGATACATTTTAATCTTTTGTACCAAATAAGATTGCTATAGAGTACATTATATCACATCGAGAAGGATTGTATTAAAAAAAAATATATACCGTAGCCGAGTTCCACAAAATGGAAACCGTACGTCCAGAAATTCACAACATTTGGGCTGATATTAGCCATTATTTGCACAGTAAACCTTAAATCGTGTTTAAGATATATATGGGAGCTGTATCCAAATCTTAGCCGATCTCGATTAAATTTAGCAAACGTATTTCCGAGCTCTACCAAATATCATTGTACCAAATATTATTGTTGTCGGTTGCATATTACGAATGTGAGGGACTTAAACACCAAATCGGGAGCTATATCTGAACCGTTTTTCTCCAAATTTGACACACAATTAACCCGAAATCTGTTGAAGATATATATAGGAGCTATATCCAAATGTGAACCGATTTTGGAAAAATTTGGCAGAGGTATTTCTGGGCTGTATCTGATACCAAACATTATTCTTGGGGGTGCATATTAGGAATATGAGGGACTTAAACACCAAATCGGATAAAGCATATATATGGGAGCTATAGCTATATCTCAACCGATTTTCACCAAATTGTACTTGCTTCGAGACTGAATTCGGCCGGATGTGACAAAATCAGATTAGTTGGACTTATTTTGGCCATTTGGTGCACAATTAATCCGAAATTGTTTGAAGATATATGGGAACTATATGTAAATCTGAACCGATTATCACCAATTTTATTGGGGTTCGTCCTAGGGCTAAACAAATATCGTTTGGAGAATTTTATTGCAACCGGATTATAAATGCGACCTGCATTTTGTTCACAAGAATACATGGACAGATGGACTGATCGTTTTGGTTATTCAAAACTTTCACCCTGTGGGGGAGGTACCAGAAGAAATGGTTCGATCTCCACCATCTTTATTACAGATCTTGTGTTGATGGAAATATTGATATGTGCCAAGTCTGAATGAAATCGAATGTATTCACGGGTATTCTAAATTTTGACACATTTTGTGGGGGAGATATTAGAAGGGTCTAACAACGTTATATCGATGCGACACGTATCAAATCATATGTACCCTCTCTAGGCATTTGACTGAGGGAATGAAAAAATGCATAACTAGTAAATTCTTGCAGGTTCTGGAAAGGAGGATACTAAAGTAATTTTACTCGGACCCCAAATTAAGATTTCCCCATTATTTAGGAAGGTTTTTATAAGTTTTTTTTTTCATTACAAATAGTGCATTTTTTTCTCAGAATCTGTCTTTTTAATAAAATCATAATCACCATTAATTCACATCAACATTATTTTTTTCAGAAAATCGCGCGGGTCCCTCGAACCTCGGCAATGTCATTAGCCAAATATTACTGTGCAAACAAATAACACCGGATTTCAATCAAGAAGAGCTGTGTAGCATTACAAAGGATTCACAGGATATCGCATTGTTACTATCGGAAATGCAAGAGTTCATGCCAAAACATGAAACATATCTGGGTATGTATGTAGAACAGCATTAATACATTTATCCGTTCGTTTGTTTGTTTGTTTGTTTGTATGTTCATTCATTCAATGGCACGTCAAGAAAAAGGCTTTTGTGGTTTTATCCTTTTCATTCCGGTTTTCATGTAAAATGATGATGAGTTTTTTTCTTCCTTTCGGTTTTCTTGTTTGTGATAACACAAACATTACTTTGCTTTTAATGGTTTTTTGTTACTCCTGAAGCGTTTCAATTTGAGAAATTAGATTAAAACATTATTCTTTTTGAAATCTAAACATTGGAGAAGAGAGTTGAGTTGAGGCTACTGGATGCAAAAATGTACTGACATTTTGGGCCATAGTTACATATAAAATTGTGATATTCTAGAGATGCAAGAAAAAGCACTTCAATTAAAAAATGATTCTGAATAACATTATGTGACCTAAGAAATGTGTAATAAAGGTGATAACGTAAAGCCAGAGAATCATAATACCAAAGGTGCTGACACAATTCCGGCTTAACTTTAACTAGTGATTAAGACCCCAATAATTTATACAAGCCTATGCACTATTTGGACTACGACATTGACAATTGATTAATACATTTATATTATTTCTAAATATACAGAGTGAGATAAAAAAAAACAAAGTCAAACGCCATAATTTTTACATTTTTCTATACCCTCAGTCATTTGGCTACAGAGGGTATATACAATTTGATACGGTCAAAACGTGCCTAGTCGAAATAACGGGTTTAGACCCTAGGTATCTTTGACCAAATCCGTTTTCATTTGGAGTCGATCTAGCGATGTCCGTCCGTCTGTCTGGCTGGCTGGTGCGCACGATCATTCTCGAAGGGAGTATCCGATTTGGTCCAAACTTGGTACATCGTAATATTTTTGTCAAACTTAGATCGAGTTCGAAGATAGGCAATATCTGTCAACTCCTCCGGTTACCTCCCCCACAAAGGGCCAAAATGTTGAATAATTACAACTCTCATAAAAAGTGATGTAAGAGTCCGATTGTCTTCAAAATTCACATATCCCAATATTTATATTAACCCAAGGTCTGGTGTTAAGATGGACAATATCGGTCCACTCCTTCTTGTACCTCCCCTGGTCGAAATTTTAAAAATATATTTTTTGCACAGACAAAGAAAAGATAATTCGATTTTGCTCGAACTTTGCAAATCCTAATATTTGCGTCAGTTCTAGGACAGATGAACTAACAATTTTGCTAACACAAGTACCAAAGTACCTGAAGTTTGACACATTCTACCAAATTCAGTCTAGAAGCAAGTACATCAAATTTGGTGAAAATCGGTTCGGATAGAGCTATAGCTCCCATATAAATGTTCCCTCTAACTTGATGTTTCAATCCCTCACTTTCGTAATATGCTCTATTTAGCATTTTGGTATTTTGTACCAAATAAATTATGGATCTCAGAAACCCCTCTGTCAAATTTTATCTAGATCGGACCAGATTTGGATATATCTCTCATATATTTGTATATGTGGCCGAAAAATGGCTAGTGAGCTGAACATATCGCAATATTTCCTTCGGTAAATATTGAAAAATAAGCTCGGGGTAAAGCTATTGAAATTTCAAAAAGTGCAAGAACTTACACCGGAAAATTGTGAACTGCCGAATTTGGTTTTCTCTGATGAGAAAACATTCGTTGTCCAACAGTTTGTAAACAAACAAATAATAATAATCGAGCCAAAGGTGACCAATTCGAACAAATCTAAACTTATTCTAAAATTTGATGATATTTCCGAATTTTTTCATTCAATAAAATTTAAAAAAAAAAATTGAAAATTATGCCGTTTGACTTTGTTGAAGTTTTTTTTATCTCTCTCTGCACAGCAATGGTACAAGAACTCACATATATTACAAAAATACTTCATTCGACTTTAGTGGAAATATAGGCCCGTATTTCCCAAAGTATTAATGGGGTCGAATTGAATATAATTATTTTCTGGACCTACTACCTCCTAATATATCGACAAAATCAAGTGATTGATTTATCTGAAGATACGTTACTAAAACATTCTTGTAATCGTAAACTATGAATGAAATTCTGGCTCTCGATTTTTGGGAAGTATCCTTACCCAGTAAAGTTTGGGGATCACTGGTAAAGGGTATTATTCTTCGTCCGGCTTTTTTACTTTCCTTATTCGATTTTCATACATTCTATATATTTGGAGACAGAATTTTTGAGATTTTTTACAGCTTGCAATGGGTACCCATCCCCTTTGCCAGAAAATTGTCAACACAAGACCACGTTTTCGTTAAACCGCTATATATTGATGGTACCCTTTAGTCGGATAAATTTTGCCATATATTCAATGGAATTACTGGCATGTGGAGATTTGGAACACATGTGTCTTAGCCTTAGGTAGTTAGGTTCGTATCGCACCAAGTATCTCAGACTTGTTTCATAGAAATTTTTTTAAATTTCGTATTTGAAGTTTGTATCGGTACCAAACCCCAACTTTTGAGTCAGACAATGAAAATTAGTCCTCATCATTACTTTATTCCTTTTATTATTTTTTCTTGTACACAAATATTGTAACTTTAATAAAACGATATCACATAAATAAACTTGTAATTGAATCTGCTCCCCTTATAATACCTACATTTGTTCTAATACTTTATGATTATTACCACTATTTTACTTGTAACCTTTGGTAATTCTACTTAAATACATTTCTGTTTCTTTTTTGGGATATCTCTTACAGAACGCCACACTGCACTGGATACCAATGGTCCTTGGGCAAATAAAGGACGCCACAATTACATCTGCAAAAATATGAGTTTACTTTGTTGTGTCTCTCGACCAAATTATCTCTGAAAGTAAATTGTAAGCCATCATCAGTACCAGTAGCATCACCACAATCAGCCACAATGACCATCCTCATTATCATCATCATCATCATCATCATTTCACCCAAAAAAAAACAAAAAACCAAACAAAAAAAAAGGAATCAAGTCAACAAGAAATGCATAGTAAGGACAAAAAAGGTTAACTGAAAAATTCAAAAAACAAAATAGAACAAAGAAACAACTTATTTAAGAGGCAACACTCGTTTCTCTATGTACATATGTACGTACGTACATAAATATTTATTTGGTTTTCTTTTACAATTGTTACACATTACCACCCTGAAAGTAATCAAAATAAAAATATATATACACATATATATTTTTTTCAAAGTAATTTAAGAACAAACAACCGAACAAAAATGCACCAATTAGAATTTTAGAAGAAAGAAAAATGAAACCCAGAAATAAAAAAGAAAAGAACAAAAAATCGGAAACATAAGATGGAAACATGAAATCTTGAAATGTTAACAAACACATCAATTATTATAGAGACTTAAGTATAGAATTTAGTCAAGAATAAACACATAATACATACATAGTTATTTACATATATACATACATACATATTTATTTATGTATACATTGTAACACCATCTTATATAAATATACACTTAATTAGAATATTTGAAAGGTAGGAAATAAATCTGAGGTCAAATTTGTTATTATAACATAAGTAATTTTTTTATTTATTAAATGAAAAAAGAATGACAACAAATAAAAACGGAAATTTGAGAACTTATAATATAAAATATCTGGAAGCAAATTAAGAGACTCCGGATCGGTATTCGAAGTATATGTGGAAATTTAATTATACCCTACAACACTATGTGTTGGGGGTATTATAAGTTTGAATGGGCCAAAAACTATGTAACACCTCGAAATATGGGAAACCCACATAGGAAAGTATATATGGATCTTCCTATCTCGCCGAGCTAAGTCGATCTAGCAATTAATGTCCGTCTGTCCATGTTAATTTGTAATCACTCTACAGGTCGCATTATAGCCCTATCTTCACGAAATTGAAAATGAAGGTGGGGCTAGGGCCAGAATAGAAGCATATTGCTTTTCGAGATGATCGCATAACATTTAGGGGCTGAAATGGACCAAAAACTGAAAAATGTCATGATTTGGCAGTTGCTCTACAGGTCGCAATTAAAGACCAATCGACACAGAAATTAGCATGTGGCTAGAGTTTAGAGCTGGGCAGAAGCCTTCCGGATAATAGTTAGTGGGTGAAATAGACCATAACATTTGTGTTATATAAAAGTCAGTTTTTCCATTAAACGGAAAATATTTTTTATCCCGTCGAAATCACAAATAGACGAACAGGTCAATCGGATATATATAGTGAAAAATATACAATGTATATATACAAAGGAAGGGGATGTTATTTAAAATGCTTATATCTCAAGAATGGCTGGACCGATTTTGACAAATTTTGTCAATTCAGAATGCCCTTTTGGCATAAAAGTATAAAACCTAACAAAAAGATGTCAATACGGATGTAAATATAGATTTTGTAGTATTTTGTGAAATTTTTTATTTTTTCATATATTTTATCGCATGCGATTTTTTCAATTTGACTTGTAATATTGAATATTTTTTAACCTTACAGCACAGGTTGGGGTTATTATATACAGATTGCAATTATCGTCCGATTCTCAGGATAATTTTCACAAGGGTAGGGTTAGGCTCAGACCTAGACCTATATTTTTCAAAGATGTCCGCAATATATTTCGGGGTTGAAATGGACTAACAACTAAACATATTCCTGATTTTGCAGCCGATATAAATGTACCAAATAGAAACCAAAGGACAGGAAATCTCGCATGAAGTTAGAGTTTAGGACAGAGTTTCAAAAGCGAAATCTTCCAAAATGGATTTGGTCATAAGGGGGCTTCTAACATATTCTAGTTTTGTAGGGTATCACATGGTCGGCCCCGCCCGACTTTTGAGCTTTCCTTACTGGTTTTCATTTTGAATTTATTTATTTTTATTTTGAAAAATTTGTAAAACTTAATATTTAAAAAAAGCTATAGTTGAGAGGGCAACCACCAACATTTAGAATTGAATGCAATATAAGTATGATTTTTGAAGTACTCTTTTTTTGGGCATGCACTGCTTTAAGGATTGACATCTTCGAGCAATACAGTAATGTAATTTTGGGAAATTAATATCTCTTCTAGGTTTAAAAAATAGGAAAAATGCTTGTATGTTTGTTTGTAATTTGTGAGCTGGAAAACCGCTGATCAGGTTTTCCTGAAAATTTTTAAAATTTTACATGCACATACCTATTGATAGATTACAGATACAGTCTCCAAATTTGGAATACATAACGGAATTTGGAACAAAAATAAATTTCCCAAATAATATTGAAATTGGTTCAAATTTGGATATAGCTCCCATATACACATTCGGCTGATTTCATGTATTTGATGCATCAAATACGCCATGTAATTTAAAACAAACATACATTTTCCAAACTATTTTGAAATCGGTGCAGATTTGGATATACTTCCCATATATATATTTTTGACCGATTTCGTTTATTTGATGCATCAAACACAATACGTATGTCTCATTCCAATGGAATTTGGCATGAGTAATTATATTTGGTACAAAAATAAGTTTGTCAAATTATATTCAAATCTTTTCAGAATTGGACATAGCTCCCATATATATATTTTCGGCCGAGTTTACATATTTCATTCACCAAACACAATATGTACCTCCAATTTCAATGAAACATGGAAGGTGTGACGGATTTTGATTTTACTAAGAAGCGTTGACCCACAACGCCTTTGCAATGGTATTAGCTAATAGTAAAAATCTACTCAACAATTTAATTCAGGATACGAGTATTAATTGGAAGCATGTTGCTACCACGAATTCTTTAATTGCAACAGAAATGCCACTCAACTTCAAAAGATTGCAGAGTCCTGAATGCTTGGCATTTGCTATGAAATTAATAAGTCCGAACGACAAACCCTTCGTTTATGCTAACTAAATTTGGCATGTTCCACCTTTTCTCATGGTCAGCATGTTCACGCATTGGTAGACTGAACTATTTTGTTTACGCATAAAAATATTACAATAATTACCTTTTTAACCAACAAATATTCGTGTATAAAATTTTGAATGCATATAAAATCAAAAGGGATAACAAAGCGCACCGTGTTCAGCTAGTCTTCTTCTTCTATATCTATAAAAGAGGGAAATGTTTGTACGTTAGTTTGTTTGTAATTTATGGACTCGAAAACCGCTGAACAGTTTTTCCTGAAAATTTCTAAGTATATTAATCATCGCCTGAAAGTAACATAGGCTATATATTTTTGAAATTGCACTTTGAACTGGAGATATAGCATCAGAATCGGAGGTACCTCACAAAAATTTAGATTTTTACTCCAATTTCATGTATTTGATGCACCAAACACGATACGTATATCCGATATCCGTGACTAAATTTGGTACAAAAATAAATTTGTCAAATTAAATTGAAATCGGTTTAGATTTGGATATAGCCCCCATATATATTTTTCGGCCGATCTCATGTATGTCATGTACAAAACACCAGATGTATGTCCTATTCCAATGAAATTCAGAATGTGTGGCGAAATTTGGATACAATAATAAATTTTACAAATTCATTAGAAATCGGGTTAAATTTGGATATAGCTTCCATATATATTCTCTGCCGATTTCACACCAAACACCGTGTGTACCTCCAATTTCAATGAAATATGAAAGGTGTGACGGAATTTGGTGGAAATGTAAATTTTGTCAAATTATATTGAAACCATTTCAGATTGGGACATGATTTTTTTAAGAAGCATTGACCCACAACGCCTTTGCAATGGTATAAGTAAACAAGTAAAAAAAAAACTGTAAGTTCGGTCGGCCCGAACTTTGAATGCCCTTCACCGACTGGAACAAATTTGGTAATTTTCAGAAAAATATCCGTTAAAAATTGTATTAAAATCTTAAAAATACCGAATGTAGCCGTATATTAGGGTCTATACGACGACTTGAACCTGCAAAATCAAAATCATGAGATACTACTATATGGTGGCTAAACCAAAACGTGGACCAGCACAGACAATTTTCTGTCAGAGCCTGTAATATCCATTTCGAACTTCAAATGCCAAATTTGAAACAATTCGGCGAATAATGTCGTTGAAATCATTAAAATACCGAATATTGGGAAGTACCGTTATATGGGAGCTGTACCAAAACGTGAACCTACATGGTCCATTTTCAATACCAAAAGTTCTGCAGACATAAAATACATTTGAGTAAAATTTTATCAACCTAATTTATTTCGTTCGGAAGCTAGATTGATTTCCACAGACTGCCAGAGAGATAGACGGAAGGTCATCACTAAATCGAGATAGAATTTTATGCTGATCAAGAATACATGTACTTTGTGGGGTCTAAAATGTATATTTCGAGTTGTTACAAACGGAATGACAAACTTAATATACCCTCCATACTATGGTGGAGGGTATAAACACTACACAACAATTTAATTGAGGATACGATTATTAAGGGGAAGCATGCTGCTACCTCGAATTCTTTAATTACAGCAGAAATGTCACATAACTTCAAAAGATTGCAGTTTCCTACACGCTTGGCATTAGCTATGAAATTAATGAATCCGAAGGACAAACCCTTATGCTGACTACATTTGGCATGTTGCTGCTTTTCTCATGGTCAGCTGCGTCTGGCGTGTTCACGCGTTGGTAGATCGAGCTATTTTGTTTACGCATAAAAGTATTACGTTGTTGCAAAATGGTCAGGCTTAATCCCTTTATTGTTGTTTTTATAAAAACAACGTTTGTTTATTAGTTACGTTTTTTAAATTTTTGAATGTCTTATTTTTTTAACCAATAAAAATTCATATATAAAATTTTGAATCCATATAAAATCAAAAGGGGTAGCGAAGCGCACCGGGTCTAGCTAGTTGTCTATATAGGTCCCTCATATAACTGTACTCCCGATATTCGGTATTTTGATTATTTAGCGACATTATTTACCGGATATTTTTTTTTAAATTTCGTATTAAAAGTTCATAGCGGGTAGTACAGACAATGACATCATAGCCCCCAGATAACGATACCTCCCGATATTCGGTACTTTTGTGATTTTAGGAGCAAAATTCACCGGAATTGTTTCAAATTACGTATGTGAAACTCGTTATGGGTACTACAGCCTATGACAAAAAAATTGTATTTGCAGGACCACGCCTTCGTATAGCCGCCATTTAGCGGTTTTCTTTGGGCGGTATTTTTCGAATTTTTTGGAAAATTTTCAAGTTCCTTGAATATGGTGGAGGGTATTAATGAATGAATTTCCAAAAATAGCGCCTTATCTAATGTTTCTTATCAAGTGTGTAACGCTTCCGAATTTTGAAAATACCAGTTTTGAAAATTATATTTTTTATCTAAAAACACAAATTTTTAGTACTGTTTAATATGAATTTCCCCAATTCCAACACCCCAAATTTCATGATTCAAGTCCTGGTCGTTTATCTTTGTCTTTGATGTAGCAATCAGTCACTCACCTCTTACAATTATGAATATATAGATTGCAAACCAAGAATTTAATTTTCATTACTTCAAACCTCAGCCCTGAATTCCCTAATTTG